AAGCAATTGAACTATGGTTTTTACAAGAAGTCAAAAATATCACTTTTTACCAAAAATTACAAAAATATTCACGAAAATTAGAGAATTGAAGACATCATCACAAAATGAACAAATCTGAGAGAGGTCCACATGTAGTACCTATATATGTAGTATCAAAGCAATTGGACTTGCGGTTTTTAACAAGAAGTCGAAAATATCACTTTTAACCAAAAATGATAAAAATATTCACCAAAATTAGAGAATTAAAGATATCATTACAAAATGAACAATTCTGAGAGAGGTCCACATGTAGTACCTATATATGTAATATCAAAGCAATTGCACTTGCGGTTTTTAACAAGAAGTCGAAAATATCACTTTTTACCAAAAATGACAAAAATATTCACCAAAATTAGAGAATTTAAAGATATCATTACAAAATGAACAAATCTGAGAGAGGTCCACATGTAGTACCTATATATGTAATATCAAAGCAATTGCACTTGCGGTTTTTAACAAGAAGTCGAAAATATCACTTTTTACCAAAAATGACAAAAATATTCACCAAAATTAGAGAATTGAAGATATCAACATGAAATGAACAAACCTAAGAGAGGTCTACCCAAGGTACATATACACCAAGTATCAAAGCATTCATGCTTGTAGTTTTCAAGAAGAAGTCGAAAAAGTAAAACATTGACACGGACGACGACGGACAATCACTCATATGATAAGCTCCGCTCGACAAAGTCGACAGCGGAGCTAAAAAGAAGTTTCAAATAAAACGAACCCAACTGCATTGCTTAGTAGCAAACGATTGTGGTAGTGCAATCTGGTCATACTGCATTGCTTAGTAGCAAACGATTGTGGTAGTGCAATCTGGTCATACTGCATTGCTTAGTAGCAAACGATTGTGGTAGTGTAATCTGGTCATACTGCGTTTCACAATTGTTGATTATTACATAGTAAAGATTATGATAACGTGAAAAAATAAATTCGTTGAATTGTTATGAATGGAAATAAATTTCAACTTATTTCATCGTAAGCGAATGAATCAGATCGCATTTTCAACGATCGATGCTGTAGAAATGAATATCTGCCATGTTTTGACCTGTCAGGTCAAATCAATAATTAACCAATGAAAACGATGGATGATGCCAACGTGTTCAAATTACCATAGCTCATTTATATGTTAATGTTATTGAACGCAACGCGTTAAAGATTTGCCGATGTTGTAGTATGATCTTTTGGCTTGGATTTTGATGGGGTAGCGGCATGATTTGTTTTTAAATAAACAAATTAATTGTTTTCAAAAGATAAACTGAGCATTTGAAGAATGATTTAACATTGTTTACAGCGATAATAGCTCATTATCGAAACTAAGCTTACCTATTCACGCTGCAATAAACATCAATAGGCATCAGCAAAGAACTGCCGAAAAAACACCCATTTGGTCCCATTTTATTTTTTTTAAAAACCCGAACTGCAGTTTAACAGGCCTGGACGAATTTACGGCAGAATCCAGTATAATAAGTGGTTTAAAAAAAAATTGGTCATTATTATACAAATTAAGCAATTATGAATTACCTGTAGGTCTGTGTACCAAATTTCATCATAATGTGATGATTAATTCTTAAAATATTGATGGTAAGCCGAAAAGTGTTTCATTATGTAAATTAGTTGTATGTATATAAACCTAAAACTACTTAGATTGTTGCATTGTCTTAGAATATTTCTGTACAAAAATATAAGTACTTGATGGAATAGCTGAAAACTGACTACAGTCCCTCTATCCCTGGTCTGGAAACGGTCATTGTATTAGGTGTGAATTGGCTTCCTTCCCTGGCATAGGCAGTGTTTTTTTTTTTACAATTTAGTTGTTTATTTCAGAATTCAACCGTTTTTACACATAATTTTTTAATCAGGATATCTGTATAAGGCCATTTTAGCCGGCGAGTAGTTCTCCAATTCATCTATTTTACCAGCAGCGACACCTTTTCGCAACACATTTTCATACCTTTAACCCAGAAATTCTTCGTGTTTGACTTTTGGAGTGATTGAAATGAACTCTATTTTATTTACCCTTCTTCTCAATGCAAACCAATATACATGTATGTCTTCGATTTTGACATTTCATTAAAAATTGGTGGGCTGATCTTTTTCTTTGTCACAGCGCACCGATCGTAAATGCAAATGGTGACGTTTTGAAATGACGATGTATGCTATTCACTGCTAAAAAAATTGTTTACATACAAAAATTAAAGCATTATTTTATACTGGTGTATCATATAAAGTCATTAGTTGTTGTATAGTTGACATGAATTGTTATAAACACCCAAGAATCAGAAATATCACACGTTTTTCAATCGACCACGTCAACATGAATGACACCATTTTGACAAGATTTGTTTAGGGATGTCAGCCTGTTGGTACGCATCGTTTTTCCCTATTAAAACTAGAAGATGAACACAATTCCCGATATTAATCTTTACATGGCAGGAACTGGATGTTTATGAATTGGTAGGCTGGTTTTAATTTGTATCAGGGTTCATAGTGCTAATTTTGTTTACATGTTTTGTTTACATTGTAGTTGCCTGTAATTTGAAGTCGTAGTTACAATGATGTATCGCTAATTGCATGATGGTAAATTTGTTGATTTTAATGATTATTCTGACGGTATCATAATCAGATCTGACTTCCTGACTCCCTCAGCTCGGGTGTGAACAGTTTGTTTACCTACAATGCGATACGTTTACCCGAAACACTGTTCCAGAGAAAAGAACACTAGCCGTTTGTAGACCAAGGATAGAGGGACTGTGGTCTTAGCAATGTACCAAGTTTCATTGAAATGTGATGATCAGAACATGAAGTATTAGTGGAAAAGCCAAAAATTGACAAATCATTATGCAAATAAGGTGATTAATATGCACAGATTTGTATTCTAAAGTGATTTGCTCTGTGCATAAACCTAGAGCATCTATGTGCTTCGCACATGAGAGTCAATGATATATGCCTTCAATTGTCATAAGCTCCATACAAAAACATTGTACATTTCATAGGTGTTAAGAGTACACTATGACTCAAAATACAAACCATCTCATTCTCACTGTACCTGACAGCACCCAATACATACATTATTCATCATTGCATTTACTGCTGAAAAAATTGATAGCCAAAATGAATAGGAAAAGTGACATCATGCAAGCAATGTGTTGATTTATATATGTCGCATATCTGAAGACTAAGTTACGAAAAAATAATTTCTAAATTAGTAGTAAAAGCGATGTTTATAGATGAGTACTGTACTGTTCAGGGACTGCACTTTCGTATTGAGACGGAGGCCGTTCATTTTTAAAACAACATTCGATAAAGTGGCCTTAGCGCATTTGGGACAGTATGGGCAAAATATTTACGTTGGACTGAGTTCCACATAACTAACTCGGGCTGACTGACGTACATTCATACCTACCGATGTTCCGGGGTCGATAATATAATATAAACGTTAGTGTGTTAACACTGTCACATTGAATGTACCATATCTTACCTGCTAGGTTCAATTAACCCAGTAACGGTTTGTATTTTTCCTCGAAGACGATCCTTGTTCCCCATATTTCTGCATCAGTTTCCCAACAGAACAAATAGTATGGCGTCCATCCTCTCTTCTGATCACGTGACACATACAGGGTCAATGACCTTCACGGGGAATATCATGCACGTGACACTTGTCGGGTTTTATTGTATTTACAAAAGTAAAATTATTGTAATTTTCTTTTTAATGATAAAGAACATTAATGAAATATATAGGTCACCAATCTCAGTTCTGAGTAAATCAATCAATAAAATACCGTGAAAATAGCATGCGTTGTCTGTCTTCGAGCATTTTCTTCCATTTTTTCCTTAGCAAGCATATCTAAACAAGACAAGTAACCTGTAGAATACTGTGTGGGTAATTTTTTTTATATTGATTTTTTTGTTGCATTTGCAGCAAATAGTTACCAAACAATGAGAAATCTATAGGATTGAATATATCCCACAGCTGGCTTCACATGCATTGTTCATATTTCATATGGTGCTTACACCAGGATTTAATTACAGCACCTAGGCGGTATGTGGTTACAGCTTAATGTTCGAGTAATCGCAAGAAATTGACATGACAATAGAAATTCATTAAAGACTGCCACTCCCATGCAATTAACAGCGAGTGAAATTCCTGGGATTGAAACATATATTTTGAAGTCACTGATGTAGGCAACGAATAACTGCAAGTTGACATAAAGACGAGGTAGTTTATTTAATCAGTGGTCAACTAGAGGCTGAAATTATAATTAATTTGTTTATTTCAATTTCTCCTGACGTCAAATAGAATACACTGGTGAAACACGGTAGTAACTGTGGGTGAAAGGATGTTTTGGGGTGTA